GTACTGCTAAAACCGTTCAGCGAAAATGAAACATGGTTTGTGTTCCCTACATGCGTCCCTACAATATGCACAAAACCGTTTTGAAAAAGCGTGGCTTGCCCTGAAAGACCCTCCTTGTTAGAGTGGGTGAGGCGCCCCACCTCTCCTCTATAAATGGGCGAAGTCCACAACGACCTTATGCGTATTCCGAAGAGAACTGAAGGGTTTATTTTGATGACCAGATCTGGACAAAACTAGAGATCAATGACAAATTGGCACAGAGCTACCAGATAAAAATGACTAGTAGATCAGCTAGGATACAAAACGAACATACTCGCAAACCAGAGATCGCAGAGATGAAGACAAGGACGACAAGAAGCCAAGAATCTGGACTCATAATCAGGTGAATGGCAACCACATGGCATGCATCGTGGTGCCAAATATTAGGTAGACCATGAGATAGAGATACAAGAGGAACTCTGGGAGTCCTCTACGGCAGAAATAAGTCAGAAACGGTAGCGGCTGCGGCACGAATAGGTCCGAAAGTCGCACCTAAAACTTATACTCTCAGGACATGAGGTAAACGGACATGGAAAGGGTAATACACAAAACCTCATTCAACACTACGATTCATTTCATTACCATGGTAAAGTCGTCTTAGATGGAAAAAGGGGAGATGTAAGTATAAAATCTTCAGATAAGGAAATTGCTCCATATAGTATCGTGGCATGAGTAGAATGTGTCTCCCAGACTCACCTTGACTCAAGAGCGCCCAACGACAACTAATTCAAAATTCCATCCTCTAGAGAAGTCGGGTACAGTGTCATCGAGGAGGTGGGAGACTTCTGTAATCTTGCAGGACTGATTCGCAAAAACTGTTTAAGTGTCTAGCGTGTTTGACTACAGCTTCGCGTGAACACCATGTCCAAAGCTACACTGGGCACTACTGTACTAACGAAAGAACGGGCGCTATCGCATTGTACGGGGGCACTCTATACGACTAACCATAAGCCAAGGAGGGCAGTAACTCTGGGGAAATGAAAATTGCTCGCTCACTCTGGAGTCTCTCCTCCCCTGCCTAAGACTTAGTCAAATTTTGAAGAGAAGATGTCTTAAGCGGCTTTAGATGCATTGCCACCACAATGCCCTCGTTCTTGAGATAGCATAGAACAACGTGATTACCTGTGGTGTAATGTCAGATATCCAGCGTGCAAGGACGAGATAAGGGAAAGGAGAGCTGGAGAACAGCATCCGCGTCAGAACCTTAAGCTATGAAATTAGTTTTACAGTAGTATTATCCTACTTACTATAAAGCGCTTCGTCTGTCGTCTGTCGTGTGTCTGTCGTTCTGTATGTCTGTCACGAAATTCCCTAGCTCCTCGGGATCCGCCTGGAGGGACCGGGTCAAGTGTGGGATGGGTGGGCAGGGTCTCACGTAATACAAAACACACATCAGCTAAGCGGAGCCCCGCCCACAGAGGGCGTGGCGTGCGTCGAAATGAATTGTACCGAAGACCAAGATTTCGATTTCAGTGACAAAACGACCTCGAAACTGGGCCAAAAAGTGGGTAAGGTGTGCATTGGTAAGTCACATCGAATTAGGGAGACCCACCCCCGGTGGGCGGGGCGTTCTCCAAAAAAGCAGTGCTTTATGAAAAATTTCATAACTCGGTTGGGAGAAAGCCTACAGAGCAGAAAACAATTTGGTGTAAGGGAGCAATGTCTAAGGTGTTTCCTGCATACATGACGTGGGCGGAGGCCCGCCCAGAATGGGCGGGGCGCGCTCTGAAGTGTACAGCATTTTCTACAAGCCCTCATAATTCGGGTCGGGGAAGTCTTAAAGAGCCGGAAAAAGGTGGATAGAGGTGTATGGAGGAGTGGAGGCCAGCTCAATGGTGGGCGGGGCTTGACCAAAGTGGGCGGAGTTTGCGACGAAAATTCATAACTCGGCTCCAAGAAGTCCCGGAGGCCGGGAAAAAGGTGGATGGAGGTGGGTGGAGGAGTGGAGGCCAGCTGTCATCGGTGGGCGGGGCCTTGACCAAAGTGGGCGGAGTTTGCGACGAAAATTCATAACTCGGCTCCATGAAGCTCCGGAGGCTGGGGAAAAGGTGGATAGAGGTGGGTGGAGGAGTGGAGGCCAGCTGTCAATGGTGGGCGGGGCTTGACCAAAGTGGGCGGAGTTTGCGACGAAAATTCATAACTCGGCTCCAAGAAGTCCCGGAGGCCGGGAAAAAGGTGGATGGAGGTGGGTGGAGGAGTGGAGGCCAGCTGTCATGGTGGGCGGGGCTTGACCAAAGTGGGCGGAGTTTGCGACGAAAATTCATAACTCGGCTCCAAGAAGCTCCGGAGGCTGGGAAAAAAGGGGAGAGAGTCGGCGAAGGAAAGGAGGTCAAATGCTATTAGTGGGTAGAGCACGCACCCAAGTGGGCGGAGTTTGCCAAAAGTATCGCAATTCGGTTGCAAGAGGTCCTAGAGATAGGGGAAAACGGGGTTAGAGGTTGGTGAGGGAAAAGAGCTCAACTGCTATTAGTGGGTAGAGCACGCACCTAAGTGGGCGGAGTTTGCCAAAAGTGTCGTAATTTGGTTCCAAGAGGTCCCAGAGACCGGTGAAAAAGGGGGTAGAGGTCGGCGAAAGGAAGGGGGCCAAATGCTATTGGTGGCAGGGCACGCACCGAAGTAGACGGAGTTCGCCACGAGATTTATTGTCCGGCAGTCCGAGGACCGAGAAAAATAGGATAATGGTTGACGAAGAAAGAGCGGATAGAATTTAGCGGAGAATTCAGATATTCGTATTGTATCAAGCCAAATTTGAAATTTTCGTCGCACCATCAAAATTCGCCACAGATCTGTGTTGCGCGCGCAATGCGTGCGGCGCCAACTGGTTGGAATAATTGGCTGACAACATACCTCCGCGTTATATACAAACAATGCTCCTAGTGCCATGAATATCGCATGGAGGGTATACGGCACATGATCGCCTTTTTCTGCGAGAAGATGCCACAAAGTTCTAGGAAAAAAAATGTATCAAGTACTCAATGAAGCCTAAGTCCAAGAAGTTACTATAAAATCAATTGTTCGGGTGCCACCAAGCAATATTTATTATTTTCCTTCTGATTTACAATTGTTCCGAACAACTCACAAAAACATACCTTTTCGATTTCACTCGCTGCCACGTCTGCCGCGCACCGAAAACTACCAAATAGAATGCTGGTGCAGCCATGAGAAAACATGGTATCTTCCGCAGTTGCCAGTATCCAAACAATGACACGTGCCAATATTTCGATTGTATTGACGCGTAGAATGGAGGAAACACTGACGACGTTGCACTGAAAACCACAGTTCGCCATCCAATTCGTGACATTTACAGTTAAGGCTTAGCCAGTTAAAGCTCGGCGCTTGCTTTACGGACTACTTGATTTTTCCTCAATGGTCCTGCCGCGATGGCTAGAGCACAGACGATTAGAGAACGGGTGAATGCCCTAGGACTAAGCCTTGGAGAGGAGAGGGACCCGCGAGAGAGCGCAGAGGCGGTTTAAAGGGCTGAGTTCAAGTAGTCCGTCGATCAGATCACATAAATGATGCCGCTGTATATACGGCACTATTCACGGAATATGTAGTACGCTATGTATTCTCTACAACGAAGTCTATCCTCATCACAGGTTATACGACACAAGAACCCCAAAAAATCACCTAAAAAATTCAAATGAATCCGAAAAATTCCATGTCGCGTGGGCATAATTCACATACCACAGTATAAGAATTCTTCTCTCACGACGTGTGCGCTTGTAAAAGTAAGGTTTCCCTGTTAGCCGAGGCACATCCAATACCTGGTGCTACGCACCGAAGGATACCAGAGAATTTCCAAGGAATATTTAGGGTTTGTTTCAAAGTTAGTTAGAATATGTTTGGTGCCTCTTTGTATACTACAGCATTTAAATAATTAAGCTGCACAGTTATAGAATAGAATCAGCTGAATACCTACTTGCACCAATCTATAACATCAGTACGTCCTACTGTGACCAACTGATGCTCCGTAGCGAATCGTTGAAGAGTAGACGGAACACTAGATGCTGATGCTGAAAAATGTTCAATGATACGAGAAGAAAGGAACACAATTTCATAGTTGAATGGAAGTGAAAGTCATCAGCGCGTAGAATGATCGACTCTGTGAGATTTTTTTTGTATAGTAAGCTGAAGCTCAGAGAGGAAAAGAGAGAATAGGATCCAGACCAAATTCTTTCCTCTTTGACTCTTTCTTTACGAAGACTAATATAGTGCTAAAATACTCACATTGCGAGCAGAATGCAATCTGCTGACGACGTCCATGGACAAATATTGGTAATGCGATGGATAGCACAGCGAGAATCATGCGCATTATGAAGGCCATTGACTAAAATCGCAAAGCCTTTATTGCGCTCTTTGAAAACTGTAATTTCTGCAAATAAAAAAGCTATGGAGAGCTTGAAGGAGCGA